AGTCACTATTCAGCCAGAGAGGCGCCTGACCAACTAAATCCCTACCCCAGGCAACAATCAGCCAAACGACATGCCACCACTAGGGTAATTTGGGCTCATCCAAAAACACCGGACACCTGGGCCATGGAGCTCAGCCTGTATCCAGAGCGAGCCCCTTGACTGGCTGAGCCAATTGGTAACCTCCAGAATGTGGATATTTGTACCTGAAAATGGACAGTCTTACAGGACCTAACCAGTTGAGGCTGTGCCCAGAAACCAGCTGAAAGAATGAAAGAAGCTATTACTGTTACATTCTGATGAGAAAACAACATGCAGTAAACAGTAATTAACACGGTTGCTACTTCGAAGGGCACTAAGGCATACGATATATAATGATCTCTAATTGTGTGGTCAGTGAGCTGTTGCTGTGCGCCAGTCTTCAAATGTAGGTCAGCAGTTGCCAGTTGCCCAGATATGAACTGTAATTGACCTACTTCCTCCGTGTCCTGTGGCATTGTTTTGACTGGGTTTTCTTCCAGACTCTCCTGTCTATTTACCTACTGTCAGCTGTATTTAGGTACACGTGTACAAATCAACAGATGAGAGTACTCTCTCCCTCTGATCCTGAAAGAGCTGTGTCACCATAATACAACCTTATGGCAGCGTGACCTTCAGTAAACTACATACACCTCCAACAGGTGCACAGTGTGGCAAAACTAAAGGCAATATACTAATGTGTGTTGTCAAAACCAGTAACAAATTATGAAGGTCATTTACATCAAAGCATATTTAAAAAGAGAATGCATGCAATGCTCTTGCTTATTACAACTAACAGTGGTATACAGGCACACGCCTTTCCAATTTGATGCAAGCAATATGTGCCTTGCCTTATCTGACTACATTCAAAATGACCTCCCTGCATTTCGAAATATCTTCAGTTATTAGAATTGAAGTAAATATGCCATTATCCCCAAGTAAAGTATAAGTTGAGCAACTTACTTCCCACTCTGATAGTACAGCGCACCTCACCAGTGTAGAGACACCAGTTTGATCGAAAGGTATACCGGTCACCTATTGGGCTTGAGAAAGTCTTGACATTCACTAAAAGACAATCAATGAAAAGAGCGCAGCCTGATTTACTAACTCTGTCTATTGCAAACAACTGATCCATTTCTGGTTTTATGAGTGGAAAGTTCTTATAAAAGCCCAGGTGGCTGGATATATCAAGCTTTGCACAGATGTATGTGTCAAATAATAAAATATTCACTGCATAACCTAATTTTTTGCATAACAACCTGCAATCTGTAAAAAAAGGAAATTGGGCATAGAACTCTGTAGAGGCCAGTCTCATCCAATATCCTTGGAATGCAGGGTGTATCCATTCTTTCAGGCTGAAACATACAACCTAAGCTATAAATTTTAGACAATCAAAAAATGTTTGTACACGCTCACGTGGGCGTAAAATCACAACCTTTGCTCTTAACATTCAATTTTCACTCAGATATCTATTACATCTGTACAAACTGTGGAGAACTGCTAGCCAATGGGCAAGTTAATAACTTATGATATCTATAACGCAACATTGCCCCCACATAAAATAAATGCCCACTGCTCCTGTTCATCTTTATGAAAGGAACCTGGAAACAAGAAAACAAGCAAATTAATAAATGCAACCTGTAGTCTCCACATAGTACAAGTGGTCATTAACCTCAGTAAAACTCACAGTTTAGTCAGCCTGCATCTTGCAGCCCCCTATTGGATTTCATGTGATGGTAATGACTCAAGATATGCAACTGAAAACAGGAGCTTCTTGTTTGCACAACAGGCTCGTGGCACATTATATAAGTTGCCCACACTCATGCCATAGATGCCGGTTGCCCAGAGTTCAAAGTGGTCAACAGGGTGGGTAGTAAAGACTCCTATTGCTTGTTACCTGTCTTCTGTGGTTGCATTCCCTTCAACCTGTAGTTTATCTGCAACCTCTTAAGTGATGTTTTCTGCCAAGGTAACGCGTTAATGACTTAACCATTCCTCCTATTTGCTATGCTGAGTTAACTGACGTTACAAACTGGCTGTGGGCTGGTGGACTGAACTGTCTTTGAGTCGGATGTAATTTAAATTTGCCTTTGGCTTCAGCTATTACATCATTTCTAGTTTGCTTAATAAAATCCTCATTTGCGGGAATTCAACACCTCTGTCAGTCCTCTGCAACCTCTTTTAATGTTTGAACATTGCTTCTGTCTAGATTCTATCGCCTCTAGCATTAGTTCATGTAATTGGCTTCATTTTTTCTTACTCAATTCTGATATACTGTGGTGGACTCATTTTCCCCATCTCACATCATTTTCTGAAACATGCTCTTCTAGGATCAAAAATTTGAAGCCACTCACCCCTTTTATAGAAAGTATTGCACCACTTTCTTTTTTCATGGATAGAAAATGAAAGTTTTAAATACCACTGTACAAATTTTGATATATTATTTCTAGCTTTTGGCAAAAAAAGAAACATGCTAGTAATAGGTACTGCATTTAACTGCAGTTTCTTAGTTAAATAAACAATTTGTTCAATCGATTTACCAGCTAAACCAGGGGTCTCCAACATTGGTCCTGGTAGCCCCATTCCAGTTATCGTTATAGATTACCCTAAACCATGCGCTTTTTAAAGAAACTGATCACTTTTCACACAAATGGTCCCTGAAGTCTTTTGAGTTGTGATCCAAATGATCTCTAAATAACAACAGATCACTGCACCAATGTAGATGATTGGAGGGAAATTTTTCCAGGCCTTCAGAAATTAAGGATTTAAAGTTAGCCTATAAAACCTGTTGGACTTGGGCTGTCCAGGACCAGGGTTCAAGATCACAGAGTTAGATGGACCAAAAGACAAACCTCTTTCAAGATTCTGTTGTACAAATGAGCACAGTAAAAGTCTGTGTAAAGTTTAGAATTAGCTGTATTATTCAGTGTTTTATATTAATCCAAGATGATTTACATCATATAATTGGCTTGTTCCATTACATTCAGCAGCAAAAGACATTGCAACATTTTATTTTCTTCAGTTAGATTTTAAATCTGACAGTCTGTTTCTAAAGACTTGTTTTTCACCACATTGAGGTGTTAGAACACAGTATATATTTTAAAGTGCAATTTTAATTTAAAACATAAACTCCATCTACAATGTTTTTAATGGGCTGCTGCTGTACACAATAAGAACAGTAATTATTTGCCTTTAAACTGTGCTTTACTTATTGGAAGGGATACCTTCCAGTGACATTCGCCTAACCTACAGTAGATAACTGAGCAGATCAGGTGGAGGACGAGAGAGAAATCACTTCCAATGGAGAAGACTTCACAAGTTCCCAAGGGGAATTCAACCAGGGTACCAGGGTTTAGACCCTTATTCTTACAGCCTCAGTTTCATCTTAAGGAAGGAACCTCCTACAGCACAGTGACCCCCTGTCAACCTTCTGGAACTTCACGCAGCACATACTGCTCCATCTTCACCACTTGGTGCAGAAATACAGGAGGCAGCGCCACTTCATGAATTCATAACATTTAAAAACTGTTCATGTTTTTTTTCTACAAAGTTGCAATCAAGATGTCATTATGGACTCAAGAATGCGCCTTACTAGACCACATCACCAGTCTGTGCCTGAGAACATAATGTCAGAAAAACAGGACTAACAGAGCAACAATGAATATTCTCTATGGGCCATGGTCCCTCAAACAAATGTGGGTACAATTATCTAATCTAAATATTGACTGCATTCCCTAGTATGGCTGGCTACATGTTTTATTTTCTGCAAAAAAACAACCAATGTGAACGCGTATTATGTGACCACTAAGAACATATCTATCCCTGACTAAAAGTATGTACATTTAAAATTAATACTGTTAATTCTGACTAATACAAAAAGTTCATTTTAAAAATATAGCTTTTCTACAACTGAATCTATTTAAAGATAAAAACCCCGCTTCTTATTATATTTAATCCTATTAAAACTTAATAAAATAGTGTTATTTAAATACGTTTAAGCAACAACATTTGAAACAACGTGGAGAAAAGTTTTGGTTCAGAAGAGGATGCTAGGAGAAAAACAAAGATACAGTAGATGCCCAGAATAATTTTGAGAAAAACATCCGACTTTACTGAAATAAAATCAACAAACAGCAATATTTAACAACCTACCGTCGGAGACCAGAAAGTGGAATTTATCATTTATAAGTGGTATATGTACCACTTTCTAATATTAATTAATTTTTACCTGTTAGGATATAGTAAATGAACACCCGCTCAGACTGCAACACAGCAAGAGCAATAATATACCTGACGGTCAGACATCGACCATCAAAACCACAGGGAAGCGACGTTTGTTTTGTGGAAATGTTTTATAGCTTTAATTTGGAAAGCAGAGCAAACAAGCGCCGTCTTTGAACCTTGAGCTGCAAGGCAGGGAAGCTGTAGCGAAGTTGTGCAGAAGAAAGTGATGTGACACCGGCACCGCAGTCTGTGAATTGATGTTTCAGCAGAAAGCAATGTCATCTTTCGCGGTTTAAAAATCGTCCTCTTTTTCCATTTACAAAGTCCGCAAAGCGCCAGCTTCAGTACACACTGTAATGAACTTCTATCCGACGTGTTAACAAATTGCCACTGAAAACCCAATTAAGAAATGCCATACGCAATCCAGTTTTAATACTGCTACAATGTCTGGAGACTGCTTCACACACTTGGAAAGTTACAGCTTACAATCGCTTTCACTTTGACCTAAGCTAGTGATTAGCACACACAAGTAAGAACTGTACCATACCGGGCCAGTACAGGCGGTCCGTCTGACTTTATACGGCCATCACGCACATTTCCAAGCTTCGCAGCTTCCAAGGTGGAAACAGCTCTTTGACTGCGGTCCGGTGCGAGTGCCGTTTCCCCACAACTGCCCAACTCGGGCAAAGACACCCAACAACACCAGATGCATGTAACAAACAGCAGGTAGCACGGCCAGCGGACACCAGGGCAGCTCTTACCTGGGAATGCAACTAGGCGAGGACCCGTCTATTTCCCAGGTAGCGAACAGGTTCATCGGAACGGGTCTGTTTAAAGCCCCGCTCCCGGGGAAACTGAGCCGGCCGGTTCTCTCCGCCATGGTCCGTCAGACACGCGACAGAAGAAACAAAAAGAAATGTCTGTATATAAATATATCTGTGAACGAACAGCAAGACTTATTTTGAAGATGCACGCAGCGGGTTTCGGCTTAGTGCAATAGTGCTGACCGCATCTGAAAACACTTCTCCGTCACGTCTCCGCGCTCGTTTCCATGTCTTTATTTTTTTCCTTGTGAATTCCGAAAGCTCAGTGTTTGGGAAGACAGGTCTGCAGTACCGTGCTTTCACCGCCACCCCCAGGAAATAACGTCATTGCATCTGCCCAGTGATCCACGGCGTGCATACTGTACATACCAACTCGCTCGCAAGCCGCGGGAACATCCCAGCCGTGCTCGTTTCTCTTCTTGGTTAATGCCTTAGATAAGTTTAAAAGCAAAAATAAACTACCTGAGATAAATTTGAGAAATATCATTCATAGTATGAATTTATTTCCAAGAATTGAATGTAAATGTATTTGAATGTGCACTTTTTGTTAAAATCTTTTCTTGGAAGCTGTTAAATAAGTGATAAAATCTTGCAGCTTCATGATATAGTCGTAATGATTGTGAATTGTTCGAAGGGCTTGCGGCACATAACGCTTAGCGGTGCGGTGCGATTGCTGCAGCTCAATATTCAGCAGAATTCCTCTAAAAAGATTAGCACATTTATAGATTATCCACCTTCCAAAGGTCGTTTCGAGATGGAAAGCTGTATACACTAGGTCGCTTGCCCATCGCAATGCGGTCAATAGACGCTGCCGCATTTAAATAAACCGCCGCCTTTGAAAGTAAGAACTCTTGCTCACAGGCATTGTACTGCAATTAGGAAAATACATAATTCTTCTGTCTACAGGCGGTGCTTGCTAATTTAGTGTCGGTACAAGGTGAGGTAATGACGTTACAGGTACTATCACACGAAGTCTTTGTTGTTTCTGATGGAGACGACTATAATGCTAATGATTTAGGAGTGGCTTAAAATGTGTACTGCACGTACATTACTAATTTCCTTTAAATGTTTTTATTTGTACATACAGAATAAATTCCATGGCGATTTTCTATTGAAATATCGTTTTAAGATAGAGGTTAATCTTGATCTGCATTTCGTAGTACAAAAAGCAGCCTTTTTGAGCAGAGTGGCATAAACGCCGTTGATCATTGGCATGGATCGTGACCCCCCTTGACCCTGTTTTACACTTAGTCCAGTTTTGAGTAGAGCAAGGAAATCAATACTGGAGTTTTCCTCTCCTGCTCTCCTGGTGGCCAAGCCCTTTTATAGTCCCAACACTGCAATCTTTTTCCATCTCAATTCTTCTTACTCAAATCCTTGTATGCAGTGCTCCTGACTAGGACATTTCAAGCCCCCATCAGGGCTTAGGACTCTTCCTCACGGGGATGGAAGTGTCCCTTTGATGTTCTGGGTAGGGGCAAAGCTGTCTTCTGGAGGCTCATGAGATTACTTTATTGGCCATAGATAATTTCTTGTATTAGGAATTTGTCTTTTCACATAACCCAGCTTGCTCTCCATGAGAAACCCAGATAGGGAGAGAAGCTTGGGGTTAGAGCGCGGGGTCAGCCATTTATAGAACACGCCTGGAGCAGTATGGGTTAAGGGCCTTGCTGAGGGGCGCAACAGAGTAGGATTCCTCTGCCAGCCGCGGGATACGAACTGGCAACCTTCCAGCCACAGGCGCAGATCCTTAGCCACAGAGCCACCGCTCCGCCCCTTGATCAACTGGCTAAATGCAGAAGGCCAGGTGTAACGATTCAGTGTGCATTCGCACCCTGTTCTAAAGCCCCCCTCTCACTCTGAGGCCCAGTTAGATGTGTCTCGCAATCACACATCGCCTCTGAACTCTGTGGTTATTAAAGACTGTCTGCACAAGAAGGACCTTTAATCAATAGGAACAAGGATAGACAAATCCACCACCTTACAGAGAAATTGGCTATTCCATTGGCTATTCCATTGCAAAATTAACCTGACATCTGTTGTCCTGCACCCAGTTTTTCACCGTGTGACATAATGAGTAAATAGGTTACAACAATATTTCCTTTATGGTTGCTCATTTTTTAGTTTACCTTGAGATGCTGTAATCACATTTTTGAAGGGTTAGATATCCATAAATCGCAAGTTTGTTTTCTTCCCACCCAAATTACACTACATTAGTAGCAAAGGTCTTACAGTGCTAGAAAAGAACTAGTGGAGGCTTTGAATATTTGTATGTTGTTTCATAGTGGTTTCACATTTTACAAAACAAAATAAAATGACAATCAAGACATCCCTCCACCCTCCCATACATGGTGCCCAGAGGACTCCTGAGCAGCAATGTGCAATAAGAATTTGACACCATCAGCTGCAATGGTCCGAATCCCCTGCCACAAGCACAGATCCAAGCAGCAGAGTGATCTCCTGAAACAATAAGAAGACAGGAGAGAATCCTGTGATGACCGGGGAGAGTATACAGACTCTCCCACACAGCACCAGCATTCTTTCAGCAGCAGACAGACCACACAACCAGTTTCACACAGTTTCTGCTGCTGTGGGAACAGCAAGCAATGTCCTTGTTTAGAGTACTGGATAAAGAAGAAGAGCCTGCTTCTCCAAACATAGTGACATCTGAACATTCCAAAATGTCTCACATGATGCCCACAGCAGCACCTCCCAGAAAACAATGGGTAACGGATTAGCTTCATTTGACTGTGGCAAGTACACTTTGTGAAACAATTCAGGTTAATCAGTCCATGCATTGGATGTCTGGAAACCAGGCTGCAAAAGGCTTGTATGAAACCAGTTATACAAAAAAAAGAAATGAAGTCTTTCTATGCTTAGGTCCAGTGCTCCAGTTTCCCCCCACAGTCCAAAGACATACTGGTAAGTTAATTGGCGTCTGGGAAAATAGCTGTAGTGTGAGTGTAGTTGTGGCTGTGTGCCCAGTGGTGGACTATCCTGTCCAGGGTGCACCTGTTGCTTGCTAGGCTCCAGCTGCCCTTCAACCCTGTAACAGATAAAGAAAATGGATGGATATACTCATGTTTTGTTCTGGTTGCATAAAACGCCTCAACTCCCAAGGGGGCTACAGCTACAGTATGCCTTGCAGAGCAGGAAAAGGTTAGGAGGGGTTCTGCAGCTAATATTGAGATGGAAAATCCTAGGAACAAGCAAAAGCCTGTTCCTATGAAAAGTATCTTGCAAGAATAAGAATAACTATCACTCCTGAGACATTGGCTTTCTACATATATATTATAATATGATATATTTCAAATATCATGTCATAATTTTATAATTAAACCAAAACACAGCTTTGAATAGATTCTTATTGATGATTGTGTCAATGACATTTGCCCAACATATAAGTCACAATCTCTGATACTCATTCTCAATAGTATATTGAGAAGTTGAAAAAATGTCCATTTTGCAAATAGTGCTGACAAAACGACAATGGTATTAACAATTTGCTTAACACATTGCACTTTGTAAGGATGAAATTGGCAGTTCCGTTTTGCAAGGCTGTGATTCCTTCTTGGTGTAAGAACTAGTATTGGGGGAGTGGTTTTATTTGCTCAGTGAAGTTCTAACTTTGTGACAGTGCCATGACAGAGGCTCAGTGCAAGTGTTTCTTTCCATCACATTAGGGACAACCGTTACTGCAGCCAAGTCCAATTCCATTGTGTTATGGGTTTCTTTGAGATGTACTTTTGACTCTAGCTTCTAGCTTGTGTAATGTTGATTTCCTTTATTTCTCTATGTTCTGGATATTAAGCTGTTCTTTGTTGATACAATATCATAAGATTTCCCTTCAGAATGAGGAAAGGTCAGATTTCCAATTAATAACTCACATGTGCAAAAACAGGAAAATTAAAATCATGCATATAAAAAAACTGGATTGTGTCGTCAACTCCTGCATGCACTTTAGACTATAGGGAAGACATTACATGTCCTAGGACAGAAGGACAGAAATCCATTGTATGTCCAATGAAAAGAACTGTACAGTTCCCCATAACTCACCACAGGTGCACAGGTGTAGCATTACTGCTAATGAGGCAAAAAACATACTTTTTGCACCTTTTTGTGAACAGGATTTACATGACTCTGTATGTGGTGGCTTTGATTTACAGACTGCATAGGTCCCATCAGACATTCAGTCTCCTCTTTATCTCTATGTAACAAGCTGCCAAAGAGAGCTCCTGTGACTCTGAATTCTCTGTTATTACCAAATAAAACTTTGTCTGTGTGGAGAGTGCATTTTAAAGAAAACCTTGATGAAGCTCAAACTTTGGTGTGGAACATTCACTTCTTATCCTGTCTGACATTTAAAAAAAAAGGTTTTCTTAGTTGTCCTTGGTGACAAGTAAGAGAGGGAGCCTTTTGAAACCCCAAAGCAAATGTACTGCTGTTGTCAGGGCCTTCCTAGCAACAGTGACAGAGCACAGCTAGTGTTTAGCGAGCAGACCTTGAGAAAATTATAGATTTTTCCATAGTTCACTCCATGTAGTGCAATGTGTTAGGGCTTTTTTTTTCTTCTATAATTATGAAAGCTGTTTATTGATTTTTTTACATCCCAGGCAAATGAAGTGTAACAAAATCAGATACTGAACAATGCAGACGTGTCAGGATGGCAGTGATAATTAAAAAACAGCAGAGACTGTTAACACCAGCTAAGGATCAGTATAGGTTCCACAATTCGTGTTCCACATTTTTTCAGAAAAAATAGAGGAACCTTAATTCAAGTTGTGCATGGCATGTTGCTTAAAAGTGGGCACTGCACCCCGGATGGGATACCAGTTCATCACTATTGAGACACACACTCAAGCATACAGGTAAAATTTACATTGTGTAACACAGTCTACATGTCTTTAGAAGTCAAGAGAAAACGAGCATCGGAAATAAAAACACAAACAAATTCCAATTCAAAAAGCTTTATTGGCATGGCTGGTAAATTACAGTGTTACCAAAACATATACAATCAATAAATCATCTACATACATTTATAATACAAATACATCATAGGACATTTACATAGATCATACAACAAACAGAACATTATTGAGAGACAGGTGCGCTGTTCCTCAGGTCCTCAGGCTGTGACAGGAGATTATATAGTATTGTAATGCTTCGGGGTTCATGTGGGTGCCCTCACAGCTGCCACATCAGGGCGGCCCCCCACCGTCGGGGACTCCACCCGGGCCTCCGGTGTCACTCAACAGAGACCCAGCCTCTTGAGCCAAAGGAAAATCTCCCGACAGCCCAGCAGCTGTGGTCCCTGCTATTCACAGGGAAGGGCGGTGAC